TATAGGAGGCCATGCTTTCGGACTGACCTCCAGCGCTGGGCCCCCAGGGGCCAGATTAAAAATCAAAATGGAGTCACTTATGCCAAAATTCCCTATCACCAAGCCCAAACTAAACTGTCTTTTGATTTTCCTAGAAATCAGGAGTGAGGAACAGCCAAGTTTCCCAAACAGGCCAGTTTCAGCTGGCATGATAATAAAGTTCTCTCTGCCTTAATCCTTCTTTACACAAAATCTGTGACCTGTAGTGCCCTAGTATTAACCAGTTATTTTCTATTTTTCTGTTTCCCTGTCCCCACCTTCCTAGGCAAGTAACTCTGAAATGACCAGTTTCTTTTTTGTGCTGTTTTTCTTCTTCCTTCGGCCCTTTACTCAGCTCACTGGGACTTACTCTATTTTATGGGGTGAAATCTTGCCTGGTTCTAGAATAAAAATAAAACTAATGAAGATCTTCAAAGAAACTGCTGTCATTTTTGCCCTTTGACAAATAGAATTAAATATCAGGTCAACCCAGACCTGAGTCCTGGCTCCACCCTTTCTGGATTTTGCTTTGCTGGGCTCCTGCCTGCTGGAGCTTTCCTTTTCTTCCCACATACCAGGCTATACCCTGGGGTCATGGTGGATTCAACCTGCCTCAGGTCATCTTCCCTGTGTGCCAAGGGCCTGCTACGTGTGAGCTGGGGTTGCCCAGCTCTGGGATGAAACTTCTCCGCGATTACTGATTATATGCTGAGCAAAGCAACCCTTAGTATTCTCTGGTGGCAAGTGACAGAAGGAAAAGCTTAAGTAGCTGAGCAGCCCAGAGGTAGCTCCACCCAGGGCTTCGGTTTCTCTCATCTATTTTTCAGGCTGGCTCTTTCCATGAGGCCCCTCTTACTGGACAGACCATGCCTCTGTGGTCCCCAGGCAGCTGCAGTGCACATCTGTCTTCACTTCTGTGGAGCTGGGGTGCCGGCAGCTCTCAGCATTGCCAGAATACTCTGAGCTTGTCCCAACTGGTCATCTTGGGCAGAGGTCCTGCCAAGATGGAAGAGGTTAGGGCAGCTGGGCCACAGCATCTTCCAGTGGCCAGGCTGTCCCAGATCATTCTTGGAATGGGGTCAGTTGACTTCTCTGACTGTCACGTGCCCCAAGGGCCACAGAGGACGATAAGCAGCTGAACCCCAACCCCGGGGCTCTCTGGGCCCCAGGAATCTCCACCTGTGCCCCCAAGGTCAGAAGAGGATACGAGTTTCCATAGAATGTGGGTGAAGATGGAGGCCCCAGTGTCCATGCACACATCAGGCCGGGCCGCCTGTACTGGTGAAGGAACGTGTGCAGTGACTGTAGCGCTTTGAAAATCACCCGGTGGGGATCTGAAACCCAGATTTCCCAGCAGAGACTCTGTCATTTCATGATGGAGGAAACAGGAAGTCCATGACTGGCTCATTTTGCATAGCTGACAGCCGAAGCCAGGATTCTGACTCCTGGGAGGGCCGGCTTGGGGATGACAGTCAGATGTAAGACTGATGGCACCCAAGGTCACATCACGGGCCAGGGTGGTGAGCAGAGGCTCCTATGTGAAGGTAAGTGGAGTGCGTGTTGCAGGGCCACTCCTGAAGTGCCTCTTTGATGTCCTGGGGCCTCCGTGTCTGGATGTAGTTCTGGCTCTTGGCCTGATTTGTGGGCCACCCCAGAATCCCTCTCGGTGTTGTCGCTCTGGTGTCATAGGAAGAATGCTGACACAGAGCCAGACAGACCTGCCATTTGCCAGCTGTGTGGCCTTGGGCAGTTTACTTCCTCCTCAGCTGTGGAATGAGGTTGATCAACCTGCCTGCTCAGGGGACTGTGAGGAAGGATCAAGATGAGATGTGTGAAGTATCCTGTGTGGTGTCTGTCCACAGTTAGTGTGCAGTGAGTGTGCGTGGCTCCCAGTGGGATGCAGATGGTCAACCCCCGGGCATATGCCTGTCCCCAAGGTAGCCCCGGGCTCAGTCTCAGGTCTGCTCCTGAGGATTCCTGGGAGGAAGGAGAGTGCTGCTGGCATCTGCAGGAGAGCTGAATTGCTTCTAGAATGATCTAAGCCAGCCTGGGCACGCTGTTCCTGGCCCCTGGTCTGCCCACTGGCTGCCCACACCCATGGGAGGCTTGGACCCCAGCCAGGCCTCAAGGGCTTCGACGGGGGCCTCAGGCCCCCACTGAGATCAGCTGCAGGATTAGGCCCAGTGACTCATCTAGAGGGAGGCCAAGTCAGGGGATCAAAACAAGGCAGAGAAAGCTCCTTCCCCCCAGGGATTACGAGGCACCCTGAAAAGGACCTATGCACCATCAATTATTCATAGGCCCAAAGGAGCCTGAGAAGGAGGCCTGGGTGGTTGTGGGGCAGGGTGATGGGTAAGCAGAGAGTTGACACACCTCACAGCAGCCCCTTGGCTGGCTTCCTCCCTGAGCCTCAGGAGACTGAGTGAAACCTGTGGTGACACACATCCACTGTCCTAGAGGGTCTGTAAGTGGTGGCCGTTCTGCTTGTCACCAGGCCTTTCCACATCTGTTGTGTAGTGGCAGCGGCACTGTACTGGGTGTAAGAATGGTTAGCACCATTGTGTGGATGAGAAAACTGAGGCAGAGAAGAGAAGTGGCTTGGCACAGGCGACACAGCTATGAAGTGCCCAAAGTGGACTGAATGAAAAGGAATTCACACACATCTGGAAGCAAACAGATGTTTGTTGAGCATCTGCTGTTTGCAGTGCACAAGCCAAGACTCTGTCCTCTGGGGCTTATATTTTATTTATGAGGTGACAGACAATAAACAAGTAAATAAATAGTGTGCTAAATGATTTTAATCAAGGATGAATACTATGAAGAAAAACAAATGGGTGGGGGGGCAGAGAATGAGAGAGGAGATGGTGTGCAGGGATAAGCTGCTGTTTTAAATAGGGTGGCCCAAAGGCCTCTCTGAGTAGGTGATATTAGAGTCTGAATGAAATGAGGGATTGAATCCTGTAAAGATCCAAGGAGAGCATTCCAGAGGGGCTAGGAATAGGGAGCAGCAGCAAGTGCAAAGGCCCTGAGGCTGGGGGGTACTTGGTGTGTTCAAAGCAATTCAAGGTTGGCATGGTGCAAGGGTGTAAGTGATAGGAGATGAGGCTGGGGGGAAGTGGTTAAGGATCAGAAGAGGGTGACATGGGAGACCAAGGAAAGATCCTCCTGGAGGAGCAGGAGTGGCTGTGGCCCCTGGGTGAATAGATTTGCACTGTGCTCACCAGGTTCTTCTCTGCTGGCCCCAGGCAGCCCAGATTTCCTGGCCTCTTTCCTCTCTCCAAAGCCAGTGGAGGAACCTGGAGCTCCTGATCCATGCAAGAAAGAGTGAAGAGCTCACACATCCGGAGAGCTACCTTGGTCCCTACCCTTTCTTCAGCACAGATGTCCCGAGCCAGGCAGGGGGAGTGGGCACAAGGTCCCGACTCCCGCGTGGCCTTTTGTCATCTCTGCACCACACAGGAGAAATCCCAGGCCCAGTGAGGGTGCACAGCTTACAGTGGAGCCCACTGCTACCTGAGCTCTGGGAGTGCCCTTCACCCGTGGGTGGGTGGGTGGGTGGGTGGATGGGGCTTCTGGGACTCTGACAGGTCTGCTGCAGGGCTCGGCAGCATCACAGCCCTGCCTGCAGGGTGCCCAATGCTCACCCCCAGCCCCAGCCCCACCTCCAGCTCAGGCTCCTTCCAGGGACCTTAGGCCTCCTGGAACCATTAGCATTATCAGTCTGGTGAGAAGCCCAAGCCCTGCTGACCAGGGGCTTTCTGCTGAGAAATTCCATTCCAGGCCTTCCTGACCCAGACTAAACCAGAGCTGTGAGAATGGAAATGGGGATTGTTCAGAAGGAAAAGGAGATCAGGCCATTTAGAAGAAGGTGTCAAAAGTCTTAAAATATTTCCTTATCTTTTAGGTCACACAGCCATTCTCCCTCTTGGGATTTCTCCAGGGGAAGTCAAAAGATGTGTGCAAAGATAAATGTACACACAGTGGGAGCTCATTGTTTAGCCTTTGCCACTCATCTGTCCATGAGTGCTCTCTCCGTCTACCAATCTCTCAATCTGAATGCAGATATACGTAAGTAAAAAAATGCATTACTTTTGTACCTAAAAATATCTTTTTAAAATCCAAGGCTGAAAATCATCTTTCCATTTTCAGTAGGTATGTCGTACTGGGGTTGGGGAGAAAGGGGGCTTCACCTTGGCTTCTTAGCAGGGGCCTGAGAAATGTCAGGGCTCTCCGGAGGGGGGGCTGTTAGTGACCCAACATGGGAGAGCTGCCCATAAAACCACACACCTCCTAAATGTTCCTCTCTAGACAGAGGATTTGGAGCTGCATGTGGTGGGGCATGCTCTCTGGGATAGCACTCTGGGAAGCTGAGGCAGGAGGATCTCAAATTTGATCTCAGCCTGGACAATTTAGCAGCTTAGTGAGGCCCTGTCTCAAGATTACAAAATGAAAAAAAAGCTGTGAAGGTCCTGGGTTCAGTCTTCAATACTGAAAAACAAACACCAAACAACAACAACAAAGAGACAAACTAATCCAGGGGATTTAGAAAACAATGGCCACTTCACAATACATTTTGAGAACATCTTAGCTTATTTAGAAAAGAATCAAGCAGTTCAATTATTGTAGAAAAAAGTAGTAAAAATTGTAAAGCCACTAAAAATAGCTGGGGTAGGGTGGGGGATTTAGCTGAGTGGCCTCGAAAGCGCAAGGCCCTGAGTTTGATCCCTGGTACCAAAAAAAAAAAAAGAACAGCTGGGGTTTGCTCCATCCAGAGCCTCCAGTGTTGCTCCGTTTCCAAACAGGGTGCTTTGGATGAGGAGAGTTTGAAAGGAGTGTGACACAAAGCCTGAGCCTCCAAGACCTTACCATCAGCTTGGGAGAAGCAGGGTGTGGGCGGTCAGTTCCAGTTGTAACCAACAGAAACAGCCTGCCTACCTGCAGCATGAAGGAATGTGCTGGAAGATTATGCAGGGAGGCCCAGACTCCACAGAGAAGCTGCAGGCCTCCCAGGGGGCGGGGGCTCTGGAGATGTGGGCAGCAGGAGTGGAGGGCACTCTCAAATCCGAAACAACTGTTAACAGTGTGAGCCTCAGCTGGAGCCTGGGTGAGTGGCCCTCTGGGTCAGGAGGGGTAGAGTACCCAGAAGAGCAGCCCAGCTGACCCTGGGCAGTCCTCCCGAGGTGGGCCTGGCAGACCCATGGCTCCTGGCCTACGTGAGAATCCAGTCTCTGACTCTCAGGAGCCGCGTGTGTGTGTGTGTGTGTGTGTGTGTGCTTGCGTGCGTGTGTGTGTGTGTGTGTGTGTGTGTGTGTGTGTTTTGCTTAGGCTGTGGATCCTCCATTTTCTTTCCTCTAAAATGAGAATGATGACAACAGTTTTAGGGTGGGTGGAGACAAGGATTAAAGGGAATGCATTTAAGCCGTCTGGGTGATGACTTGATCAGGAAGGGCGATTATGCTTTGGGGGCGCGGGGCTCACAGAGAAGAAGATCACAGAAGCACCCTAAACCAGTGCTGAGTTTCAGCCTGGGGTGCTAGGACCACAGGTCCTCATGGCCCAGCCACTCCTCGGCTTCTGGGGCTGGGGTAACTTCTGCTCCTTCCTTGAGCCTTAGTTTCCGTGTTGGCAGTGTGAAGAAAGTCTGCCTTGCCTGCTTCCCATGTGGCTGAGAGTACCCAGAGAGAGTTGGACGGACACGTTAGGGAGGAAAACTGAGAAAGGCTGGCCCTGTAGGGCGCCAGCAGGCACTAAGGGTGGGTAGAGGACTCCAGCGCCTCCCCCAGGCGGGCGGGTGCTCAGTGCTAATAATAGGGTCATCCTCTGTGTGCTGAGCCCGGATGGGCTGTGGAGGAGGAGCCTCGGCCACCGAGGCAGCAGAGGGATGTAGGTCCAGGGGACATGGAGTCAGGGCACAGGTGCTTTGGAGGGAAACTGGGAACTGAGCCCTTCTGAAATGAGGAGGTGTCCTGGAGGAGGGGACACTGAGCTGAGGGCTGAGCCTGAGGGAAGTCACAGGCAGTGCGTAGAGAAGGAGCACTCAGAGCAGCTGGACAGTGCCGCAAAAGCTCTTTGGCTGCAAAGAGAGAAATGAGCGGGGGAAACTCGGACCACCTGGAAAAGTACATGCTAAGATTGCCAGGGGAAGTACAGCCCCCCGAGGAGTCCACAGAGGTAGGGACCAGGCTGCAGGTCAAGCCAAAGAAACAGGTTCTTGCCCTCCTAGGCTCTGGGACTCAGAGAGGTTGAGTATTTGCCTAAGGACATTTAGCCTGTAGAATAGTCAAAGGAGGGTTACATTTAGGGCAAGGTGGCCTAGAATATACCTTGAGAACTGAGAATATGGTTGGAGAGCTGAGGTGGATGTATCTCCAGGCAATAGGGAGACATAGAGGCCTTGGAGCACAGTAAGTTTCTGGTACCCAGCAGCGATTTAGCCCCAGTGTCAGAGGGCTCAGGATGGTTGCCAGGGACAATAGGCCATGGCCTGCCATGCCACATGCCACAGTTAGTTTTGGTAAACAGTAAACCTCAGGCCTCTTTCAAGGCTGCATGGATAGTGGGGATGGCATCTGGATTTAATTGGAAGTTGCTGCTGTGGCTGCTTTGCCCTTTAGAGGAGGAAGGGCGATCTCTTCCATGAGAGATCTGTTCCTGGGGGGCAGGGTGTGAGATACAAGCTGGCAGTTCCACACCCACCACCAGCCAGGCAGTGGCAAGGGTGGCAGGCGCACTTGCGGTGGCAGATGGGTGAACGCAGGCCTTTCTCACCTCCAGGGCCCTCACGGGAGCTGCGCAGCCCCAGTGCTAACCTCGTGACATTTATTTTCGCAATTACCTTCTGTTTATGACTAATGTGCCCAGTTTGCTTTTTATGGTAGCGGTAGGAAATTCACTGCAATCAGTTTTCAATAAATATAGTTGAATAATAAAACACAGTCTATTTAAAAAAGAGAAATCATTAGTCAACAGTGTAAGTGAGATGTGTGGGTGCTAAAAATGCTGGTACACAGGTAGTCACAGGTCAGGGAGGGTTATTCCCCTTCAGGGTGGCTCTAGGGTAAGGATTTCAGGACAGCTCCAGGCTAGGGACTCTCATTCCCACTGTACAGCTGGAAAAGCTGAGTCCTCAATAAATTAACTTAGCTTTGGTCCTCAGCCAGCTCTGCCTGGAATCAGAATGCCCTCTAACAGCCCCCTGTCCTGTCCTCCCACCCCACCTCTAGGTTAAAGAGTGTCTGGACCTCTAGACAGTGCTTGGCAGTTCAGTGCTCTCTGGGTGTCAGGGATCCTAATCCAGGCACCAGCACTACCCCTTGTGACCCGTGGCCTTGGATAAATGTCTAACTTTCTCTGTGCCCTGCTGCTCATCTTCAGATGGGAACAATACTTGAACCTCAGAGGAGTGTTCAAAGGATTTAATGAGATGGTTTCTGTTACTAGTTCCAATGTAAAAGTGAGATGATGGAATCTCAGAGCCACAAAGCCACTTGCCCACGGTTGCGCAGATGGGAAGAGGAGGAGCTAGACACAAGGTAGGTAGGTGGATCGGTGCCCCAAGTGCTGTTTGTAATGATCCCACGGTGCTGCCTCCCTTCCTGGAGCACAGCTTTGGGCCCGGGTGGGAAGAAGCAGAGACGGCCTGGAAAGCTACTGAGTGGCATGGTGTGTTCATGGGGAGGGAGCTCGGTTTTCTTTAGGCAGGAGCCTGGGGACTCTGCCAAGATCCCCAGAAGCAGCAGGGTCGGATAGGAGGGAGGGCACTTTCCTGTGGGAAAATGTAGGGCGTTTCCACTTATAGCCTGGTAATTGGGCCCAGCGAGGTCCAGAGCTCAGATGATGTCATCCTGTCTCTGTGGCCTTGGGGGCTTAGGGAGCCTCTGGGGAAAGAGCCGTGGAGGAGGAAGGGCCAGGGGCCAGAATCTGGAAAGAATGACAGATGAGTTTGGGTGGGTGTGGACTATGGCCAAGGACTGAGGCGCTGAGGCAGGACAGCCCACGGCAGGAAATGCACATCCTACTCCACGCAGCGTGGCTGGAACCAAGTGTGGGAGGCTGATGCTGGGTAGTGAAGGAATGAGCAAGCAAGGGACGTGTGAGTGGATGGGGGTTTTAGTGCCGTGCCAAGCCGTGGAGATGGATTCCTAGAAGGCAGCTGAGTCTGGGGGAGGGGTGTGAACTATGACATTGGATGGAGCTCAACTCCCAGCTGTCACTTACCAGCTGTGTCACTCTGCACTACTATCTTGACCTCTCTGAGTTGCTGTTCAGCAATGTCATTTTCCAACCCCATATCCATTTCCCAAGTCACTTTGGCTATGGAACCCCAGATTCTTCTCAGAACGACAGTGCAGTCATTCTGGTGCCTCTGCATCCCCAGCCTCCTTCAGAGTGAGGGGTGGCCTGACCGAAAGCCTTAGCGTCCTCATTTTCTCCAAATGAGAATGGTCATCGCCTCTGTGTAGGGACCGGGAAGGGTACAGCCTGGCATATGCTCGGGAAGCCTGGTGAGAATTCTGTAGACTTCTGCCCGTGATGGTAATGGTGGTTCTAACTTTTCGTCTCTAGTGTTCCCAGCTGCGATTGCTCGGACCCTCACTTGGTGGTTCCTGTTGCCTCCAATCTCACAAAGCTCTACCCACCCCCGGCCCCCGCGTCCCAAGAACACTTCTCAGCCTCTCTGCAGTTATTCATGGCTCCCTGCCACCCTCCTGGCTCTGGAGCCAACTGTTTGGTTCCAGATCTCAGCCCACCACTTCCAGCTTCATGTGACTTTGCAATTGCTGTCGTCCCTGTGTATCTGCAGGGGACTGGTTCCAGAACTCCCTGTGAATGTTAAAACCCATGGATGCTCAAGTGCTTTATATAAAATTCTGTACTATTTGCACATAACCTACACACATCCTCCCATATACTTTACATCATCTCTAGATGACTTATAATACCTCATGCAATTAAATAGCTGCTATATGGTATTGCTTAGGGGATAATGACAATTTACAAACGTCTGTATATGTTCAAGGTAGATGCAAGTTTTTAAATAATATTTTGACCTGTAGTTGATTAAATCTGCAGCTGTGGAGCTTTTGAACATGGAGGACTGACTTACTTAAGCAGGATGGTGACACTACCTAAATCCTGTGATACAAGGGGAAAACCAGGAATTCTTGCAGCACCCTTGGCATGGTGCATGGCTCCCATCGAGCACTCCTGGAGGGGAAGACCAGCTCCTCAGGATGGTCCTCCATGCCCCCTGTGACTGGAGCTGCCTCCCGATCTGGCCCCAGCCCTTGGTGGCTTTGGTTCCCTGCCTTTCTCCCGCCTCTGTGGCTTTATGTGTGTTGGTCCTCTGCCTGAAGTGTTCTGCTCTAGTGTTCTTATTTCTTTAAAGTGGCTAATTCCACTTTAACGTTGGAAACAAATTATTTTGTCACCTCCAAGAAGCTCACTCACCCCTCACTCACCCCTCACCCCCTGGGCTTCCTCTGCTGTGTGGGCCTGTCCCACGGAGGCATTAATGCCATGTTCTCTGCCTTTCTGTCTCTCACAGTCCCTGGGCCGACCCCTCCAGGGCCCACACAGTACCCTTATCACCTCTCCCCTAGGGCTGCTTCAGGTGGCCCCGCAGTCACTGCCCTCATGAACCTTCCAAGACCAAGATGTCCATGGTGTCCAAGGGCCTGTGGCTGACACCACTCGGCTTAGCACTCACTGCCCTGTGTTCACGAGGTGCCTGGTCTATTCTCACAACTGTCTCAAAAATGGGCTGTGAGTGCTGGGAGGGTTAATTTCATGTGCCACCTTAGTTGGGCTACTGTGCAGCCCAGGACCCAGGACCTTGTGCAGGGGCAGCTGCACAGTTCTGCACTAACCTAGATGGTGCTAGAAGACGTTTATGGAGCTGGTTAACATCAGTATTCAGTGCATATTAAGCAGAGGTGGTCCCATCCAGTCAGCTGAGGCCTTAAGAGCAATGTCCAAGGTTTCCCTAAGAAGTAGGGATTCTGCCTCCACTGTAGGAATAAGATCCTGCCTGGGTCTCCAGCCTGCCGATGCACCCCACAGATTCCAGACATTCAGCCCCTCATCACAGGAGCTGGTTCCTTAAATATAGCTTCTCTGTGTGTCCTCTCTATTGGTTCTCTTACTCTGAAGAAGCCAGAGTAATACCACGGTGCCCCCTTTTATAAGTAGGGAAGCTGAGAGTCTGAGAGGTTAAGTGAGGAATAAGGTCAAGTCTGGAACCCAGGCAACCTCTGCAGGACCAGTATTCTTCCCTTCAGTGGATGCTGGGTCCAGGGCTTAACTTCTCCTTCCATTATTTCTGGGAGCCTGGAACCAGCTTCCTTAGCCAAAGGAGCCCCTTTGCAAAAAATCAGGACAATTTACCTCTCTTCTCTATACTATGTCTTTCAAAGAGACCCAGGGAAAGTTCTCTAGGCATAAAAAGGAATGAGGAGAGGACAAGCTCTTCCTCCTGCTGTGTGACTTGAGCCAGTACCTTCCCCTGTCTGGGCTTTGGATTCTATAACCTCATATTTCAACAATTGTAGACACTATTAGATACACTATGATATATCAAGACAGTGGGAAAAATTAGGAGATTCTCTGTGGATTGGTACAGAAAAGGCTTCAAAATAAAATGTTGGGTGAAAAGAGTAAATGGTAGGACAGTGTGACATATGTCACTTTTGTATAAGAAAAGGAAGATTGAAGAATACATAAACTCTGGAGGGACACACCAGATACTAATAAAGATGATTTCTTTAGGGGAAGCAATAGGAATTGGGATGAGATGAGACTTCCCACTATATAGCTTTCATTTTTATTTTTGTGGTGCTGGGGATGGAATCCAGGGCCTTGTGCATGCTAGGCAAGTGGTCTATCACTGAGCCACATCCTCAGGGTCCAAATCTTTCATTTTTGACACGTGCATAAATGTAAAGAATAAATACTAATAATTTTAAAATCGAAATAACGAGAGTCTCCCCTTTGAAAAGGTGTGTCAGGATTAAATTAGAAAATGGATGTGAAATGCCAAACACACAGAGGATGTGCAAGAATGGCACTGGTTGTTCAACACTGTGAACCTCTAAGGTGCTGCCCAGCAGAGGGAGAGGCAACCCTGGCCCCTCCACCTGTACATATAAGCACCCAGTATGAGCTTCCTGCTGCTCTGCATCCTGTGGTGACAGAGGAAATATTCCTGTCTTAGTCCTTTCCTCATCATTGGGACAAAATTCCTGACACCTGCAAGTTAAAGGAGGAGAGGTGTATTTGGCTCACATTTTAGAAGTTTTAGGCCTTCATGGTCAGTGGCATGGTTGAAGGGCCTGGTGGAGGAATGCTGCTTACCTCGTGGTGGTCAGGAAGCAGAGAGTCCAGGAAGGAGCTAGGAAGGGAGATAAACTCTTCTAGGTCACACCCACAGTGACCCAGTGACCCAGCGCTTTTGACCAGGCCTTACTAGCAAGTCAGCTATAATGTCTCATAATCCAGTCACCTGCCAAACACATGAGGCTCTGGTGACCACTTTAGATCTAAACCATAACAAATCCCTGCAGCTCCTTGCTTTCGAGGTCCTAATAATTCATCGGAGGAGCCTCAATTGACAATCACCAGCAGCATAGTTCCCATGGTGCATTCACAAAAGATTCACAGGGAAAGAAGGGTTGCTGTGACCCAATGTCTCTCCAATTACAAAGCTCCTTGCCTTCCCCCTTCACTACAATGTCTGTCCAGGCCCTGGAATGATTTGAGGTTTAGGTGAAGGTAGTGTCAAGTTGTGATTTGAAGGTGGGTCATACTACTGGCATGGGAGTGACCCCAACCCCCTTTCAAAGATCATTTAGACTTGCCAATAGCTCTACTAGTCAAATAGAAGGTAGAATTATTTTTCCCATCCCCTTACTCTCTCATTCATTTATTTCTCCATCGAGCCTCTGACCATTAATCATGATATGTCAACATGAACAGATTAAGAAACACCTAGTAGATTAGTAAAGCACAGTTTTGTGGAAACACTGCAGGCAGGGGATTCTCAGACACTGATAGGAATGTTCCTTGTATCCATGGGGTTCAAAGGGGCAGCATGAAGAAAACCGTGTGAAGGGCTCTGAGTGACTGAGGTATGTGTGGGAGGCAGGCAGGGAGGGTAGAGAGATGGCGTCTGACAATGATACATTGCGATAGAGACTGGACACCATCTTGTAGGACACAGGCAGGGAGGCAGGTGCCAGGCTGATTAGGACTTTAGGTCTGGAAACAGAGGCCTTGGTTTCATCTAGGGGAATCCTTCAGGTCCTAGGGTCTTTTCTTTACCACTCACCCTTTTTTATTAAGATTTCTGTTGAGCTAATTGTTGATTCATACACTGTTATAGGAAAGAATGGAGAGAGATCCCTGTGCATTGTGTCCATTCTCCCCAGTGGTAAGATTTTGCAAAGTGATTCCTTTGCTACTTTTGATAAGAAGCACCAATGTGCTGAAAGACAGATGCCCAGGGATCTCTAGTGACAGTGTTTCTCCTCTCCATCACCTTCCCTTTCTGTATGAACCAGGAATGTTTCATAGGTGAAACAAATTTGGAAGTCTTATAACAACTCCCAAGTTCACCCTTATCAACCCTTTTCTTATCTTCTTATAGCAGACCAGGTTATCCTTTGGGCATCATGCTTGACATGGCCAATTCCAACACACAGTGGGTAGAGGCCATGTGATCAGCTGACTAACAAAACCTCAAGTTTTCCTTACATGAATTTGTGGTGGTGTTGGGAAGTACCTTCCTGGCAAGGAACTACATTTCCTGGCATCCCTTTCTAATCACGTGACCAGTTCTCACCAATGCAATGTGAGCAGAAGGGTTGCAAAGCCCTGTCAGGGTGGTATGTTAAGTAGCAGGCAAGATATCTTTTATTTCTCCCAGTCTGTGCTTTGGATGACACCATGATGACCTTCAGGTCACAAGATGGTGGAGGAACCCAGAAGAGCAACCACTGGAGGAAAGCTACCCAGGAGAGCCATTGGCCAGGAACATGAGCCTTAAACTATGTATGAGGCAGAAATAAACATACATCAACATTTCAAATACACAAAAGAAGTAGAGAGCATAGTGTAACTCAACTTAGCCATCCATCATTCAATATCAAAAAATTATCAACTTTTCCTAGTCTTTTTATTGTCCACTCTTACCCCACTTTTAAAATTGTTTGCTGAAGATTTTTAAAGTAATTCCTAGACATCCTGCAACACAAACAAGACAAGAGTCTAAGCAACCTTTATTGTGTTAAGGCAACAAGATGAGGGCTGTTTGTCACAGCAGTTAGCCAGTGCTGGCTGAGCCACGGGCCCTGGTATCTCATCATGGAACAGAGCATAAGCAAGTAGCTTGTTTTCCTAGGCTGAACAGTGTGCACATGAATGTGTTTGGGCTCGAAGCAACCAGCATGCCAAGCTTTCCAGCCCTCTGAGAAGCTGTTCTCTTTGTTCTGGCCCAGCTGCATGCAGTCATACCTCCCCATCCACCCTCCTGGCCCCTGCCTCCCACTTCTTCCTCCTCCCAGTCCAAGGCTGCCCAGAGGAGAAGCAGACTGAAGGCGGGATGCAGAGCAGGGGATTTTGCAGGCTGTGCTCTTGGCCTGGCCTGGGCTGGCCTGAGTGAGGCAGGGTGAGGCTGTGCTGGAAGAGTCAGAGCTAAAGGCAAGAGTGGGAGCCAGGGAATCAAACCTTCTGTGCTTTTCAGCTGGGCCTGTGCTCACGACCCTGAAGCTCAGAGGCAGGATGAAGCTCAGTGGTTAGGATTTCCAATGGCTTTGAGTTCATTCAAACAGTCCTGTGGTTGGGGGTGTAGCTCAGTGGTAGTGTGTGTGTGTGTGTGTGTGTGTGTGTGTGTGCGC